TGTGTGTGTGTGTGTGTGTGTGCAGGGTTTTCTGGGTAATATGAGGTGCCTTTATGTGTCTCAGCAGCCAAGAAGAGCTCATGCTCAGGTGCCCTGCACATCGCGTTCCCACTAATTAAATGCCTGTCACGAATAACACGGTTTCCTCCACGGATGTCAAACTGTAATTTTAAGCTTTAATTTATGCTTCAGAAGGCAGATCAGTCCCTACACAAATACACATTTATGGACTTTTAATGACAACCAAAGCAGAATGCTCAACACTTAAATCCACCAGTCGTCGTACATCTTTTCAATGGGGACAGTTATGTGAATGTTATTTCTGTTTTAGTTACATTAGCTAATTCTGCCATTGTTTGCCATCTAACACATTAGAATATTTTCATTTTACTTTATTCTGCAATCAATCTAACATTTTTATAGCACACCTTTTTTAAAGACCAAGTGATTTACAGTAGATAGATAAACACAAAATAATTGTAACAAACAGAAAAAAAACACATTCAATATCATTAAAAACAATTAAATTAATGAGGATACACCAAATAATAACATTAAATAGTAAAATGCATTAAGCCTGAAAACACGATTAAAAAAATTATTATCAGAAAAGTGTTTTAAATAAAATGAAAGTTTCTCTAAATTTTATTTAAAGTGATCAGTAGTTTTAACTTTAGGTATGAAGAATGGAAAGAAAAATGCATAATTCATTTAACCAAAAATCATTTATTTAATTAAATTTACTTATTTAATTATATATTTTTATTTGATTAACTCTAAATAATTGTTTTAAGTTCCTTGTTTTTCATTTTCTTTGCAAGATTCTCATTTGAAAAGTACATTTTTAGACATTTTGAGAAAAGATTGTTTGGTTCTTTTATTTTGAATAGCCTTATTCTGTGACGTCACTTCCTTCTTCTCCAATCTGTTCGGAGCTGTAATGGAGGGAGTTGTAGAATAAAACTGCGTCAGCTGGGCTGACCCTGAACATCTGAGCCATTCGTCATTTACCCAGTGCAGAATTTGGTGGTCTGGGCGAAGCCGTGTGGCGAGTCCGGTTTCAAGTAGATTAAAAGAATGATAACTGACCCAAAGTGCTTTTCACTACAGTCATTAATCCATTCACACGCTGATGAGGATGAACTACAATGTAGCCACAGCTGCCCTGGGGATGCACAGAAGTAAGGGTGCTGTACGCGGGTGCCTCCGGTCCCCCCCGCCACCACTGTCACATTGAGAGGACTGGAGGGTCATCATATGAATAAATGACCCACACTTGTATAGCACCTTTCAGAGTCAGAGAACTCCAAAACACTTTACACTACAGTGTATCATACATCCATTCACACACACACAGTCACACGCTGATGGTGATGAGCTACGATGTAGCCACAGCTGCCTTGGGGCACACTGACAGAGACGAGACGTCCGAATACTGGCGTTACCGGTTCCTCCGACCACCACCAGTAGGCTAGGTGGTCAGATGGGCCACCTAGCCTGCTGGTGGTATAAGTGTCTTGCCCAAGGACACAATTCATTTCAATTCAATTCAAGTTTATTTATATAGCGCCAAATCACGACAAGAGTTGTCACAATGCACTTCACATAGTAAACATCCCAATACAGGTCAGTTCATTAAGCCAATCAGAAAAAAGTTTACTATATAAGGCAGTGGTTCCTAATCTGGGGGTCCCGACCCCCACAAGGGGGCGCCAAAACCTCTCAGTGGGTCGCCAGGACCTTTCCACTTTAAGGGATTAAAACTTAATGTATTACTTGTTTATAGCCTACATTTTGCTCACATTTTTTTTCATGAGTGAAAAGTTTACTGATATTAAGACAGGAAATAATTAGTACAGAAAAAGTAACACACTTTTAAGAACATTTTGCTCAGCTCACTGTTTTAATTTCAAGTGTCAAAAGTTCATTAAAGATAGGACTGGTTGATTAATCACAGCCTTTACAGTAAATAATCTAGTATAAACAGTAATATACACTTTAAGTACATTTTGCTCAGTGTATTTTTTATGTGTCAAACGTTTATTGAAAGGAATGATTGATTTATCAGTGTTTACAAGAAACAATGTGTTCAGAGAAGTAATACAAACTGTCAAGCACATTATGCTCTGTTTGGTTTTGTTAATGACTTTGTTCTGTACTGGAGCCTACTATTACTGTTATCTATTGCATATTAAAATGTGCTTGAATAATTTTATCATTTCTTAATAATGTTTGTACTGGAAGAGAGAATGGGAGGGGGTCATCAAAAATTTGACTGGTAAAAAAGGGGTCCCTTGGGAAAAAGGTTGGGAACCACTGATATAAGGAATCCAGCAAACTGCATCGAGTCACTGACTAGTGTCAGTTAGGGCCTGCACGACTTTATTTTTTTAAAAGTCGACAGTCAAGTACTGAAAGTCGAGTCGACTTCGACTAGTCGTTGATGACGTCATACACCTGAAGCGGGGGAGGGGGGGGGGGGGGGTCGGTCGGTAGGTTCGCTGGAGTTTTTGACAATTAAAATTGCGCCCACATTTTCTAAGTTAACACATCTCTTTTAACAACGGTAGTTTCTGCATCCTACTCCAGTCCTCCCCCCTCCCCCTGCGCAGCAGCAACAAACTGATGCGCCTGCAGCCTCTCGGAGTTCCTGCTGCTCTAAACATTAAAGTAATTATTTCATTTTCTGTTCCTCACTTCTGATTACCTTCAAAGGTGTTTGTTTGTTGCAACCACCAGGTACAAAAACGAATTTGTTTTTATTTGACTATTTTTCTGTCCTGCCTGTTTATTATCTTCCTGCATCTCATCTCAATCCTAAAGAGAAACTGCTACCTGGGTTCATATATATTCACCTCATGAGTTACCTTTGAACTGCAGTTCTAAAAGATCTACCGACTGCAAAAACAGCGGAGTGCCGCTGCTCACCGGCCGACTACAACGAGACCGTTTTTGCTGCAGAGTTCGTGCTGGAGCGGAGATAGTGGAATCTTGGGGGTGTGTCACCGGAGGACAACAGGTGATGCACCTCGCTCCCAGCAGCGAAATGCATCAGGCACAAATAAAAGACAGAAAGCATGAAAGGAAATGAGCCGACATGAACGACCGCGTGTTTAATTTGTTTTTAAGGTGGTGACACCTGATTTGGCAGTGCTCAGGACGCAGATGTCTGGAGCGCCGCGTCAGCGATCAGAGCTTTGCATGCGCAAACTGGTGGGGGTGAGGGGAAGGTAAAATTGCAAGAGGGAAAAGGTCACAGTTTGGTTAAATGTCCGTTTTACCGCCGGTGTCGGTACCGACACGCACAGCGCTGTCGCCTCTGCCTTGATCCAGATGCGCAGGGGCTCGTCACCTGCTGTCTTTTCCGAGGACTGCATCTTGTCAGTCATTATCACGTGACAGCGACTAGTCGATGACAGGCATAAAAAGTCACTACAGAGCCGTGAAGTTGACTAGTCGACTAGTTCGTACAACCCCTAGTGTCAGTGACTTTACAGCAATCCTCGTACTAGCAAGCATTTAGCGACAGTGGAGGACAGCAGCCTTCTTTGTCCAGAGCCGGGATCAAACCTGCAATCTTCTGATTACTGGACAACCCGCTCCTCCTCCTGAGCTCCTGCCCTGTTCATGTACAAGGCAAAAATCAGGTCAATAGGGAATGTAAATAATCTATTTTATTTAGTTGAAAGAATTATGATGTTTGCTGTTTCTGGTGGGTTTTTCTAGGGATAGCCTATAAAGCCTATAAAGAAAATATAGTTATGTTCATTTAGTTTCCTTTATTATTTTTTAGATACTTTGTTTTTGTAAAGTGAAAACTTTTTTTTTCTTTAAGACGGGGTAAATAATCTATAGGTGTGGTTAAATAAGTCTGTACTTCTCCATAACTATGATTGAATTGTCACATGAGTGAATATTTTCCTACTAAAATCTCTGTGCTAAAGCTCATCAGCGTTCTCTGAGCACAGTAAGACTCATCCACTGAGCCACGCCGCAGACGCCGACTAAAACGGTCAACCAAAACGGCTCCACCATGACAGGCTAAGGTTTCGCACATATTAAATGGTGCCTCTGTGAATAAAAGGCTCTGCCTGAGTGAACGAAGGAGACCAGAGATGAGTACTGAGCCCAGATGGAGCTGAAGGCCCGTTAGAAGAATGGTGTCTCTCTTGCTCGCTGTCTTCTTAGCTGTAACCCGACCTGTTGTCAGCAGGACCCACTAAAGTTCAGCGTACAATGGACAGTAGAGACTACAGGCCTTCTGCAGGAAGATGTGGATAAAACTATATTAGTGATGTTATTTTTAAGATCTTTGCTGATATTTATGGTTATACATCTGAGTTTGAATCAAGCTGAATCGTTGTCTTCTTTTTTGTTGGCGTTTCTTGACAGTTTTGCTAAATCAACTAAGTAAACACCCCTTTCACTCCCAAAATCCTCATTAATCTGGAAGTTGTCTCATTAAACGTTATGCTTGTGTGATTTTGCAGAAAATAAGCAACAGCTACAGTTAAAGGAGAGCCTCTTCCACCATTCGGCAGCTTTTTATTTGACTGCTTTGTTTCCCTTTTAAGAACAGAAGCAGACACTAGAGAAGCCTCATGAATGATTCACACGCTGGCAAATCTGTGGTGTTCATTGGCTGAGTGCTTGGGATCAGATGAGCCGAGCCGGGTCAGATATGAGCTTGCTTACAGGCGCTGGCACTTGTCAGTCTTAATGCACTGTAAACAGCAGAAACACTCATGAACCCTGCTCGGAACAGCACACTCCAGTTTCCACCTGCAATTAAGGTGACAGCCCTGAAGCGGGTGGACATTGTCGCGCGATGCTGATGTGGTGGCAACAAAGGTTTTTGGATTGTAATTTAAGAGCTGTGGAAACACAAAACTCTGGAGGAAATCAAAGCATAAAACCCAAACACATTCATGTTCACCAGCCTTCCACAAACTTATTTTCCATGTTTAACATCATTTGTTCACTGTGTCCCTTCTTTGTAGTTCGAGGGTTGCAGCAAAGCGTTTTCTCGTCTGGAGAACCTGAAGATCCACCTGAGGAGCCACACGGGCGAGAAGCCGTACCTGTGCCAGCACCCGGGCTGCCAGAAAGCTTTCAGCAACTCCAGCGACCGAGCCAAGCATCAGCGAACTCACCTGGACACGGTCAGAACAGCTTCTGCTCTCTCACCTCACAACATTTCACCTGACAGGATTTACGTTTCTACTGATGCAAAAGATAAAACGTAGAGTAAGAAATTAAAAAATTTCAACGAAAATCTGAAGTAGCTTGCAGGTAATTCTATATATTCCCATATGAGTTTTGGTTCATATCTGGTTTATGCTTTAGACCAGGGGTGTCAAACTCATTTTAGCTCAGGGGCCACATTGAGGGAAATCTAGTCCCAAGTGGGCCGGACCGGTAAATTAAAAAAATAAACTTCAGATTGTTTTCTTTGTTTTAATACAATCAATATAAAACAAGGCTGGAGCCTGAGGACAGTGTAGTACAAGTACAACACCTGAAGTGTACTTGAAAATTTGAAAAAAAAAAAAATCAACAAATAAAAAAACATTCCTTAGTGATTCAAAGAGCTTACAGATCACATGGCAAGATCAGTTTCATGCAGCACTTAAAGTATATTTGACTCATTTTACTTTACATCTTTTGGCTTTCACCAGCACATCAATATCAGAAGTCACATCCTGAGTGGCGGCCAACTTCAGGATGTGATTCAAGTTCTTGTGTGAGCCTTGAGCGCAGCTTTGTTTTATTTATACTCGTTACAGAGGAAACTTGCTCACAATTATACGTTTATTTTCACTCTACATTGTAAAGTATGCAAATAAAGTTTACACAACCATCTCGCGGGCCGGATTTAACCCGCTTGCGGGCCGGAACCGGCCCGCGGGCCGCATGTTTGACACCCCTGCTTTAGACTGAATTGCCAATCTTCTCTACCTATTTCCACCTTTAGACAGTGTTGGTTTAATTTCCTCATGAGCCGCAGTGGGGCATTTTCACTCGCCCAGCAGCAACACACAACAGATCGTTTAATGAGCGGAGCCATCGAGCCAAGCTACTCTTTGAGCCTAAACGAACTTGGATCTGAGCTGTGAGCTCACACACAGCTTTGCCTGTTTTTCTAGACATTTGAAATAAGAAGGAAAGATTGAGTCAGCCTTCACTTCTATTGGTTTGTTGCTATAAGTCCAACAGTTCATCACCCACTTCACCCACAGAGAGGAACAGGTTTTTACCCAACTATGTGCTTGTTATTTGAGCAGTTAGATTATTTTTATTTTGATAGCAAAAAAATGGTTTTAAACTTTGTTTTGTGTGTTTTTACTTTTTTTCCAACACGATAGTCAAAATAAACACTCGTTCACTAGTACATCAAAAAGGGAGGAAAATAAAATAAACAAAATAAAATAAAATAAGAGACATACATGCATTGCAAGAGGTAACTCGATCATATCATAATATAAATCCAGGATTTCCTCTGAATCAAATGCCATAATATAACTGGTGCATAAAATCAAAATTGCACTATAATAGGGTTTCCCCTCATAAGCAGATTAGTGCATTAATATGTGAAAACAATGGAAGTTCTGTTCACTATCAAAATTTCACAACCTTAACTTTTTATTTACACATTTAATATCCACGGGAGCTGTACACCTATTGGATGTAATTTAACAGCGAAACATTTCATGGCTTGTCCAAGGTATGGACCACTGAAAAAACAATTTTAAATGAATATTTCTGATTATAGCAGTCACTCTGAGTTTTTCATGCAGGCTGAACATGAAAATAATCTCCTGCATTAGCTTCTGATAGAAAATGAAACGCTAGGATCTCAAAAGCCTGACGATGTGTCATCAACAATAAGGATTAAAAGGTTTAACATTAAATCAATGGGGTTTTTTCCCATTCAGAGTTGTTTTGTGAGCCTTTAAAAAGTTCAAATTAAATACCAGAAGCAGCTAAATATAAAGTGTGTACATTTTTACAGAAACACTCAGTTTTAGGCTCTACTCGACTCAGAAGCAGCTCTGGATTTGTATTCCTCTTTAATTCCAGTTTCTGTTTGACATTTGGAGTTTAACTTGGCAGAACAATGTTCAGAGAGAACACCGGGGGACAGAAAGGGCAGAGATAAGATGTTCCTCCTATGCTTTAATGAGGAATTTCTGAAAGAAATTTGTGGGAATAATTTCCTACTTTTCCAAGCATTTTCTATCCAAAGATACTGACTCAAAATAAAGACTCAAAAAGCCTTTACAACGCCTAACCCTAACCCACAACCAGACATGTCATAAAACACTTCTTTTCCTCTTCATTTCAGGAACATTTTAGTCATGAACACATTACTGATGATGTAATATCAGATAAATGGGGATTCAGAACAGTAAAAGAATCTGAACATGCACTTAAAATAATCAGTACATGGGATTTTATCTATTGGAGTCGCAGGCGCACACAAAGTAAAATGCACTGAAATGTTACTTTAACTATAAAAAAAACATTTGCTTAGTTTACAGCTGCTTAAGTATATACAACTTTGAAATGCTAGTCCAGTAAGAAAATATCTTAGTACTTTGTACTAGTTGTTTATGCAACTTTAAGTGCATTTTACTTTGTAAGTAGTAGTTGATCTGAAATATGGGTACCTATAGTACTGTGTATTATTTTAAGTGCAATCGGTTTGCATGCTTTTCTCAAGTAAGTGGAACAAATCAGATTTTACAGTGTGAGAAAGTCAGCTTTGTGTTTTAAAAGAGTTTCCTGTGTTGACATTTTCTGTAACTGATGTCCTTTTCTATTATTTCTTCTCGCTCTTCCTTTTTACTTCAAATTATGAATCCGTCTCAGCTAAAAGGTAGGACTTTGTCTTTATTTCAGGTTTCCTATCTCCAGTACGTTCGTTTAATCCTTTTATTGCTTACATTTGGGGTATTTTTTTTGGGTGTCTCTGTTCCTTCAGAGTTTAAATTCCTTAAAGCTAAAACCTGCTGTGAAACCTGTTGTCTGTCCTCACAGAAACCGTATGCATGTCAGATCTCTGGCTGCACCAAGCGTTACACAGACCCCAGTTCTCTACGCAAACATGTCAAGGTCCACTCAGCCAAGGAGCAACAGGTGCATCGAAAGGTGAGACACTGTAACAGTGGGTGAAAGTAAAATTAAGTATATAATGCATTAAACGCTAGCTGACAAGCATAACCTGGTCGGCGAGGGGCTGAACCTACACTCTTGTTATGTGGCCTCCTGAGGATGTTATGGCCTACCTGTCTAACCAAAAGACTCAGACATATATTTATTTATATATATATTGTAACGATTTAATTTACATCTATTTAATGCACCATAAGATATGAGATTCCATAGAAAATATGAAATCAATCTTATGGATCTTTGGATAACTTAAACCAGAAGATTGGAACTTTTTATTGCAGGGATTATGTAACCACTTTGTATTAACTAAGAGAAGAGAGAGTCACCTTTAAAACATTTAAGAAGATTTATTTCTAAACAATTTTAAACAAGACTAACTCTAAAATCTAAGTGATGAATGGATCTTGGTGTGAATGAGATGCGAGATAGATGGTGTATGTGTGAGTGATGTGGTCATCAGAACTCTCGTATCCGGAGAAGCAAGTCTGAGTGGGAAGTGATGTTTTGCTCTTAAGCTATGATCGGAGTTTCATAAACACATGAGGCGCCATTTTGATGCTCCACACATACCCTTAGGATGAGACCTCCGTACAGATCCAGAATGCCAGGTCCTCGGACCCCCCTTTCGGTACCGGAGCCGATGAAACAGCGTCAGCAGTACGACAGACTAGTCTTTGGATTGTCTCCAGGTAAAAAGCAACAGTTGGCTGACAGCGTCAGATGGACCCTGAGGGTCAATGAGTTCAGCTTTTATTCTGAAAGGAACCCTTGCTTGGTTGGTAAAGTGCAACAGATTTTATCCAGCTTGTTGGTTCTTTGCTTAAAAAGGAAGTCCGGGTGGCCGGTTCGATACTTCTCTTAGAATGCGGTTAACTGAACTAAGATGGCGTGGGGACTGGTTTTATTAATCTGGATGTTTTGATTTACGGTCGAATCAAAGTTTGACAGATTTGTTAACACCACAGAGACTATGCCACGCCTCAGAAAGGAAGGTTCCGATTGGATGAGAAAGATAAAATGTGTCATGTGGCTTATATTACGTGGCATTAAGTAGCTCAAAACCTACATTTCCCAGCAGGCATTTTATCAATAGGGATCCTGTATATGCTATGTTTAATTGTTTTTTGGTGTTCTTTTATTGTTTCATTTCTGCTGCTTCATCATTTAGCCACTGATGTTAAGGTTTTATGTCATATCTTTTGTCATAACCTCTATTTTATCTCCATGGTTTTATCTTTTTTTCTTTCACGTAAAGCACTTTGGTCACCTTCCATGTTATGGAAAGTGCTATAAATAAACTTGATTGATTGATTGATTGCTAGACTTTTGCATCCGTCCCTGTGTTGATCTTTTAACCTAGTTTGTGTAATCTCTCCTTCTCTGATGCACATTATCCACACAGCTGGTGTGGGCATTTTAGAAGCAGGGAGACATCACTGAGAATCATTTCCACAGCAATAGATCAGATCAACCACGTTTCATCATGTTTATGGTCAAAAGCCTATTCTCTCCCTGAGTGGAAGTTGGTAAATAACAGGGAGAAAGAGCTCATTGTTGTGGAAATGGGCTGGATAGTGGCAGGCTGGATGATGTGTTCCTTTGCTTTGCATCGTAAAGGGAAACACATGTGTGCTTGTAGCATTGTTAATAAGCTGTAGCACAGAATACCCCAGTGGCCAGATGTTATGGACAAATGTCAAACAAACGCTCTGAGTCCACTCTTGGAGTTGGCCCAGAAAAGAAAACTGTTAAGAGTGTCACACAGAGCCTCAATTACATGTGATGAATGCTTTGCAGGACGGCTGATAATAATCCCCAGCAGGACTCGAACATACACATTTACTGACATGAAGCATCTCAATGTGTGAAATCAAACAATGATGATGCCAGCTGTGAAAAAGTGGGCATGACTCTCGTTGCATCGATGGCAACAGCAGAAGACGCTGTGCGCAAATCAGAAACAATTGTTCTTTTAGTTGATGCAAATAAAGAATGTTTCCAACCATGGATGGGAAATGTGGAACAGATTTTTGTGGAGTACCCGAGACTGTAAATGAAGAAAACTTTTAAATTTTTGAAAATTGGGATAGGGAGCAAAGTTTGGTGGTTTTATATGTCTAAAAAATATGTGTGATAATTAATAATCCAAATTTTACAAAATCCTGTGAGGCCTTTTTTACCTTTAGCTTTGACTTTTGGTGACAAATTACTACAACGTTCCTAAAGGAGTTTCCAAAATATCTTGAACTGTTCACAACGGTTTTCTCAGTTTTGTGCTGCTGAAATATTGAACATTTGCAAGGAGAAAGAAATTGTAGAACACATCAGGAAACTGTCTCCTCATAGATTTTGACAACTTTGAGAAAACTTTAAAGTGACAGTGTGTAGTTTCCCTTGTGATAGGGGGCACTATACCTAAATCACTGCTAGAAATCATTATTTTTCTGTTCAAGTAAGATCTTACCAACAGATAGCCATTAGGGTCAAAAATCCATGGGAGTGCAACTTCCAGCAAAATAACAAGAACATCAGATTCCCTTTCATCACTTGCAATGAGTAAAAAGGTAAAAATGTAAAATAAAAATCATTATTTATGCTGAAAAATTTGTATCCATTTGTTACAAATCAGTAAATGCATTCTGTCCTCATGGGCTTCCGTAGAAGGAAACATGACATCCAGTATGGCGTCGCCCAGAGACTTAAACCCGCTCAGGTTAAATTTTATGAAACTGCCTATATTTTTCAACAATAGGGTATCTTTTAATTCACTTACAACAACATTTCAATAGATATTTCCAGAGATTAATTGTAAAAACTACACATTGTCACTTTAAGATGGGTTAGTGATTGAAGAGTAAATTAAAAAGGGGTGATTGAAAACAAGTGGAGATGCAATTAAGATATAGTTAGGATACTTTAAATGAATTCCAGCAACATTTTTTGATGATAGTTGCTTTTTGATGACAATTTTTCGACAAGTCCTATGGCCTGGTCATTCATCAAACTTCTCTCAGATACCAAAACCACCAATTGAGTTTGACCCCAAGAAAACATTTGAATATTTTCTTGCTTTTCTTGATGTATTTTGTATAGTACATCATATTAACAGCACATTTCATCTGGTATTGTGGTAGGTCAAGGGTCCCTGGAACAAATGAATGTAGGTGAATGAGTCTATAAAAGCTATTTTCTAATCCGCTTTGCCTTACGCCCTGAATCACACTGTATGTTGTACTTCAATTTAAAAGAAAAATTATTATGTGTGTTTCAACTACGTCCGTCACATAATTTAAGACTGGTTAGCTTGTAAAAATCCGTAATTAAAATGACTACAAAATCAGACATCACATTTATGACGTCACTGCAGAATCTCTTCTCCTCCAGCGTAGCTGCCACTTATCGCATCACCAGATTTATAGTGGTTTTCTCCACCTTCTTTTGTCCTGGAAGAAGAATTGGAAGCTTGTTAAACTAATCTCCTCTTCTCCGTGTCTGGTTTGAGAACGTCAATTAGTTAAATTTGTAGTCCATTGTGCATTTTCATACAAAACCTAAAATTGCTGTTTGCCGCTGTTCAAAAATAAGCACTTTCTTGGCATCGTGTGTCTTTAAAATTCACAGACATCATGATCTATGGCATATGGCACATAACAAACGGGATGAGGAAATAGCTTTTATCCTCCCATAGACTCCCATTCATTGGGCTGTTGTGGACCCATGGTCCGGAAGAAGATGGGTGTGACCTAACCTCCCTATAGGCTTCATCTGAGCATCCCAACGTTGTTGGATGTGACGTGAATTTCATAAAATGGTAAATGGCCTGTATTTGATATAGCACCTTCTACAGTCCTGGAACCCCCCCCCCCAAGGGGCTTTACAACACAATCAGTCATTCACCCATTCACATGCTGGTGGGAATGAGCAAGGAATTAGCCACAGTGGCCCTGGGGCGCACTGACAGAGGCGAGGCTGCCGAGCGTTGGCGCCACGGCGCCACCAGTCCGTCCGACCACCACCAACAGGCAAGGGGGGTTAAATGTCTTGCCCAAGGACACAAAGACAGTGACAGACTGAGTGGGGCTCGAACCTGCAACCTTACGATTATGGGGCGAGCAATTAACTCCTGTGTCACCATCGCCCCAAAATAAATAATCAATTAAAGTAGCCAGGCTCAAACTCGTTGTTCCTCCTGACCAGTAGATTTCCAAGAACCGCCCAACATACAGGACGACCCATTGATGGCAGTAATATTTCTCTTTTCTCCAGTTATAATTCTCTTTGGCTGTATTGCATTACATAGCTGGTTTAAATTAACTTTATTTCTGCCTACATCAGATAATCCACCTCAGAGATGTCCAAGTCTATCTCCTGACCTTTGAAGCTAATTCTACTGAAGACAGGAATATATGTGGTTGTTGGACGGCCCTGGTGTGTGTACCGTCGGCGGCTACAATGTTTTATTACAGAAATGTTCACTCCTGTTTGCGTTGCAGGTCAGTTGTTGTACAGGCTTTCGCCAGCTCTCTCTGATTTTCTCAGGCTTAAGTTTCATCCTTGTGCTGTGTTGTAAAACTTCCAGCTAAAATGTGTCTTCAGTTGTCCTCGTTACTGTTGGCAGCAAGAGAAACAGAAGCAATCTTAGGTTGGCTCTGAGTTGGTATGGTGATAATTTACCCACAATGCCCAAGGCCAGTGCATGACTCAGAGTGGAGCAACACGATCTTTCTATTTACTCCGCTTTATTTACAAAAAGTCTTATTTTCTTTTAACATTAACATCATAATCGCATTACAGCACAAAGAGAAAACTGAAAAACAATGAAGAATCTGACCTGCAAAGCTGAAACTATGTTTTGTTCTTAACGCGGTGAACATTGAGTTATGAGGAGAATTTTCTTTGTTCTTTTGTGAAAAATTTGTTTGTATCTGTTGGTGTGTTTTCTCAGCTGTGGCCCGGCCCTCATCTGGAGCAGGATGTCCTGAGTGACTGTCTGTCCTTGCAGCAGATGCAGAACTCTGCATCCTCACAGCAGCTCTACAACGGCAAAGACGTTCGCTGTCCTGCACTTGGTCCAGACATCTTCACAGGTGAACTCAAGAATTGCACACAGTGAAAATGCCTTCTTCTCATTGCTGGGTTTGTTGCATCCACGTCACTAAATGCAGATAGGGGTACAGAAGTAGCCGACGCTGCACAGAACCCCATTTACTCTGTTGACGGGAAATTAAAATGCATTGAAAAAAAGAAAGAAGGGAGAACACATCCAAGATGTCTTTCTATCTGTATTTGTCATTGTGTTAATTTATCCTTAAAAAGTCACTCATCCAGGAAGTACATTCAACAGTATGCAACCACGTATAAAGCGCTTTCAGTTATCCAGTGTGATAAATACTGCTATGTTAGCTGAGATCTTTTCCTGTTTGTAGGAAATTCCTGATCCAGTTCCATGATGTCACTCTGAACTTTACACTAAACCTGAGAGCTCTGCTAAAACCACATCCTCTACACACAAAATCAGTCTGAATACATACAACCCACGTTCATCTAGAACCTAGTATGGAATCACATCACAGCCACCCTCTCTCCTTATGAGGCCACACACACACACACACACACTTGTATTTATATCTTTGTGTGAACCTCCGTTGATTCCATTCATTTCATTGACTTCCCTATGCCTAACCCTAACCCTAACCTAAACTAACACTCAGAAAATATTGTGAACCCTGGCCTCTTTTTATTTAATTTCATTAAAAACAATTTTTTGACCCATTTTTATGTTTATATATATATTATTTCTGACTGCAGCCCTGTCTGTGACCACAGGTTGGTATATCCTCTGGTTCAGACAATGGCATAAAGTAAAATAAATATTAGGTAACTTAAGATAGCATTCATTCATCACAACTGTAGGTACATTTCTACCAGCATTATGAAGATCAATAAACCAGGTAATAATAATAGCTAAATTTAAGACGGATGAAATATGCCTTCTTCTTCCGGCTCTTGGAGAGTACAGGCGCTTTTTTCCTCCTCTCCTCCCTATCTTATCCCAAGGCTCTTTGTCTGTCTTTGGGTGTACAGCTCTTCTGCATTTTTTCTGGAAACTAGAAATTACTAAAATGGACCTGGTCAGTTGGTCCCTCAACACAATTGACAACATTTTTTCAACGATGAGAATGGGAGATGGGGCTCCCAGATGCCCCTCTGGGACAGAGCCAGTTGGGTATATCATGGACTCCTGGAAACAGTGGAACTTGATCTGCCTCTCCCAACTGTCTGTAGAGGATTCTGAAGACATCTGGATATTCGTGGTGTTGGTGTCAGGTTTCTTGCATTTCGGCCTGAGAGGTTACCTGGCTTACCGGAAAATTAATGACCTGTCAAGGAATACTGGCTCAATCCCGGAGCTCAGGGATGGATTGCACCGTGCTGTGAATGCACAAACTCATATGATTGTCGAGATGAGTCGTAAGCTTGGAACTTTGGTTGAGATTCAGACTCTGGCACAGAAGGTTGATGCCATCAAGGATAGAGTTGACAGATCAGCACGGATTGGGATAGATTAATTACGTCATTATTGGATTTAGAGGGGCTGAGGACCAACAGAACTTTAAGACGGAGAGGAAATTATCTCTGTCTGTCCCCAAAACAAGTTCTTATCTGAATCTGGTGCCCTTGAGCCTGTGAGGCTGAAGTGAATACTCCCCCTCAGAAGAAATGTGGAATGCTGCCATTGCCATGGCAACTCTGTCTCCCTATCCCAGCCTGGGTGGGACTGCGACCGGTGAAGGCCATTGAATCGTTTCCAGGAGTCACTGTGCTTTCTAAACCCAACTAACTCCCTTCCCTGTCCAAATGGAGGTGACGAGTGCTGCTTATCGCGGCTGCACGCACTGATGTGTGGAGAGTCCTCTACCCTACCTCCCCACCTAATGGACTCTTTGTCTGTTGCATTTCTGTCTGAGGTGTTTTTTGCATAGCAAAGCTGCCCTCCCTGTGGAGGGTAACTCTGAAGTGCCTTTTTTTCCTCCACCTGACTCAATCCTCATATAGACCCTCTGATCTCTATTAAGGTAGCGCGACTCGGGTTGCGAATGACCACAGTCACCAATTCTTGTCATGTGTCTATGCCGATGTATGTATGTCTGATCTCAGAATTGTGTGTACTGATACTCTAATTTTCTTCTGGGATTAATAAAGTATCTTTGAATTGAATTGAATAAAAATTCTGCTGCTGCTTGGATCCCTGACTGTAATGCACATAGCTTGCAATATAAAGAAGGACAACACTTGTCCCCCTCCTGCTAGGCTGTGTGACTGCAATAACCTGTCCTGTGGGACCCTCACCATGAAACTCTCATGTGCATGCTGTCTCTGGAGGAGCAGATAGGAAACACGATTTCCAGTAACTTAAAATGAACCAAAGCTTCCTCCCAGTTTCTCTTTAAGTTTAATTTAACATCAGTTTATCATCATGAAACAAAAGAATAAAGTGGAACAAGAACTTCTATCTTCTATTTACTGTAACTCTCCTTTTAACTTCTCCGTGTCCCTAAATAAAAGAGACAGAATACGCTGCAGCCGCTGTCACTGACCCCGCTTCCTCCCCAAGACCGGACCTCCCGACATCACAGCACTCGGTCTGCCTGAGCGCTTCCAGGAGAAATAATAATGAAATTATGAAATTAATAATTCGTGTTTGGAGGAGCGTCCTCCGATCTTCTCTCTCTCTCTCTCTCTCTCTCTCTCTCTCTCTCTCTCTCTCTCTCTCTCTCTCTCTCTCAGTCGCTGATCGAGCGAGCAGAGCGCACACACACACACAAACACACACACACACACACACAAACACACACACACACACACACACACACACACACACACACACACACACACACACACACAGACTAATCAAATGTTAACAAAAGCTCTGATGATAAAATCCATCCAGCTGTGTGATGCAAGCAGAAACTCACAGGTAGATGGATGTGGACTCTTGCCAACAATCAAAAAACTGATCCCAGTCATCTCCATGACTGCGAGTTGGAGCCACACCGGGGATAGCCATTTACATGTTAGCATGACGCGGCAGAGCCAGCCAATGAGCTCGAAGGCGGATCTAAGGAAAAATAGGCTTCAGCTTGAGGTGGCTGTCTTCTGCATGGTCCTAGTGCCTGACCTGTATCCAAGTAAGTTTTGAATGATAAAATCTGACAGAAGACAAGGAAAAGGGTGCTTTGGGCACTCTGAACAAAAGGGGGAGGTGCTCAAGAGAGGAGGGGTGCCCAGAGTAGTTTCTGCTCGTTAAGTAACAATAGACAGCTACAGCTTATAAGCTTGACTCTCCCATATTCCAGTTAGAAGTGACAAAACTCCTCGGATGAGAAGTGAAACGTCTTCAAGAAACCCAAGTCCAGTAGCCTTCATTTAAACCCGTTTGGATAGTGTGTTATACGTTATTATGTTAAAATGTATCTTTACATTTAACCAGCTAGGTTTAGTGGGTACAGTTCACATAACTTGGTTAAGCAAACTCAGCATTGCATTTCTGAGTGTAGATTGATTACAACTATCTAACGAACAAGTGAGATGCCCTGCAGAGATGCTAAGCCTCTGGCTCAACTTGCTTCTGAATGATGAACACGGCCTGCGAGACTCTTTTATTCTTTCCTTCCTTTTTATCTGACTGGATTATTCTCTTGCCTTTAAATTGTTTCACACACTTAAGGAGCCCAGTCAAAAAGTGCTACTCAGCCCCGGGGGCAGCAGGTTTTAGGTTAGCATTCACGAGTTTCACATTAAGAGCTCATAGGGTGCATGAATGAACCGGGGCGAAGTAGGCAGGCATCCAATCATTAACACTTGTAAAGCAAAAAGTGAGTCACGCTTCCAGTCAGAGCTAACTTGTTTTCCTCTTTCCTGCTTATAGGTCTGCTCTTATTCACACGTGTGCCATACGACTTACGAGAACCCCCCTTCCTGTTTTATAGAGCGTGATTAGAGGTTTCCTGATCAACCCGATTAGCTCAGAGCTTTACACATTCCTGCTGTTATTCTTATTGGTTGATAAACCTCTCCTTCCTGTTCAGAAAGCTTTTGATTCACAAACATCGTCATGGGAAAACTCATCCACACACTCATACTGTACCTCAAAGCCCCCCCCCCCCCCCCCCCAACATGCCAAACAGCAACTAGTTATAAAATTGAGGCAATCACAGTCATTATTTGTTGATCGATCGCTTTGGCTGTGTGGTAGCAGATGTTGGGGCTAAAGGGGAAAACATTTAAGCTCTGTGATTGATGATTTGGGGATAATGAATCAAGCTTGTAACCATTTTGGAGCGCTGTCACACCGAGCCTCGGCATGCTTCTACTTGAGAACAGTTGAAAAAGCAGGAGCACTTTTCTAGTCTCCTCCAGTCTTCTTGTCTTGTTCCAGGTTCGCTGCCACAGACGCTCAGCGTCCTTTTCAAAGCTGGAAAAGGAGTTAGAACATAAACTGAGCAGAGGATGTGAAAAAAGTGAATTTACACTAATATGAGAGAAAGAGATGATCAAAAGGAGTCTCTTCTAACACAATTTGATGTCAGCAATGTGAAGTTCTTGAATGAATAAGCCTCTGGAGCAACATTTCTTTAAAAGCTGCAGGAATATAGCCACAGGAAAAATGTTGTTTTTGAAAGGTTAGACACGTTGGAGAAAGATTTGTAGAGTAGAAATGTCCAAGAAAATCTCTGAAGAATGGTAGCTGTATCTACAAAGTGGTGAGAAGCCAAAAAGCACTTTTGTGAAAACACGCTTAAGCAAAAATGGTCAACATTTGTGGGTTCCAACATCTGTGGTTTATACTTCAATCGGAACACCATTGGGTCTAAAACCAGAGGCCAAAGGAAACAACTTGTCACTCTGGGATTTTAACAAGCTGTTTCCTTAAAACTCAAAAGAAAATTGATTAAAAAAATTAGAAGTTTCTACATTAAAGGGGTAAAAAAAGGCAAACAAGAGACAAAAACAACCTTCATATATATATATATATATATATATATATATATATATATATATATATATATATATATATATATATATATATATATATATATATATTACACAACAGGTTCTGGTCATAAAATTAGAATGTCAAGAAAAAGTTTATTTATTTCAGTAATGCCATTCAAAAAGTGAAACTTGTGTATTAGATTAATTCATTACACACAGATTGATATATTGTGTATGTCTATTTCTTTTGATGTTGATTATAACTGATGACTAATGAAAATCCCAAATTCAGTATCTCAGAAAATTAGAACATCAATTAAGACAAATACAAAAAAAAGTAATTTTAGAAATGCAGACAACTGAAGTGTTTGAACATGAAAAGTATGAGCATGTACAGCACTTAGTATTTAGTTGGGGTTTCCTTTGGCCTGGATTACTGCAGCAATGCAGCGTGGCATAGAGTCTATCAGCCTGTGGCACAGCTCAGGTGTTATAAGAGACCATGTTGCTCTGGTAGTGGCCTTCAGCTCTTCTGAATTGTTGGGTCTGGCGTATTACATCTTCCTCTTCACAGAACCACATAGATTTTCTATGGGGTTAAGAACAATCACAATCAAGAACACTGAACCATGGTCCTTAAACCAGGTACTGGTAGCTTTGGCACTGTGTGCAGATGCCAAGTCCTGTTGGAAAAGGAAATCTGTATCTCCATAAATTTAGTCGGTAGCAGAAAACATGAAGTGCTCTAAAACTTCCTGGTAGATGACTGCGTTGACCTCAGACCTTAGAAAATACAATGGACCAACTCCAGCAGATGACATGGCACCCCAAACCATCACTGACTGTGGAAACTTTACACACTGAACCTCAAGCAGCATGGATTCGGTCTCTCCTCTCTTCCTCCAGACTGTGGTACCTTGATTTCCAAAGGAAATGCAAAATTTATTTTGATCAGCCAACATTGGACCACTCAGCAGCAGTCTTGTCCTATGTGTCTTTAGCCCAGTCAAGACACATCTGACACTGTCTCTTGTTCAAGAGTTATTTAACACAAGAAAGGTGACAGCTGAAACCTGTTGCATACGTCTGTGTGTGGTGGTTTATGAAGCACTGACTCCAGCTGCAGTGCCACTTTGTGAATCCCCCCCCCACACACACACACACACACACACATACACACACACACATTTGTGAATGGGTTTGTTTCAATATCCTCTCCAGGGTGTGATTATCTTTATTACTGTAAACTTCAACAGAGCTCTGTAAGCAGCCAGCCTCTTTGGCAATGACCGTTTGTCTCCTAGTGTAAGGTGTCAGTGGTCGTCTTTTGGACAACTGTCAAGTCAATAATCTTCCCCATGATTGTGTAGTCTACAGAACTAGACTGAGAGACCATTTAAAGGCTTTTGTGGGTATTTTGAGTTAATTAGCTGATTAGAATGGCTCCAGGGAGCTTCAATATTGAACCTTTTTACAATATTTTAATATTCTGAGATACTGAATCAGTTCTAATCATCAAAATGAAATAAATAAACGTTTGAAATAAATCAGTCTGTGTGTAGTGAATAAATCTAAATAAAAGTTTCACTTTTTGAATGGAATTACTGAAATACATCAGCTTTGTCATGATGTTCTAATTATATGACCAGCACCTGTGTTTGTTTAGTGTCTTCTAGAGTCCTACAACACCCCAAGGCACAACACAATCAGTCATTTACCCATTCACACACGCATTCATTCAGCTAGTGATGATGAGCTGCATTATAGCCACAGCTGCCCTGGGGCACACTGATGGATGAATATTTGCATCATTCAAACACCTGCAACCTTTTAGTTTGTTACTAAGACAAAGACAATCCAAGCCAGTCCCTGTGGCAGCACATATAATACATCCACAACAGCAAAAGAACTCTTGATAGGATAAAGGCTGCCAAAACAAAATCTTGTCACCACGAAATGGTTTTTCATTTGTTCAAAAGAAAATTGGCCCTCGAGTTCATTTGGCACTTTCACCAGATATTTGTTTGTCTTTCAGGGCTATACCCTGGCTCCAGCACCCCCCACCACGGCACTCCGGTGGAGCTCCTGTCCCCCACCAATAACTCCACGTCTGTCACTGACCTGCCCCCCCGGCAACACCGGATGGACCAGGACCTCTCCCCGCTGGCTGCCATGGACGGCGTAAGAGACGGGTGAGTTCTCCCCGCCGTGCAGATGCAGAGGTCTGTCACACTCGCGCCGATGGTCGGGGTGACAGAGAAGGGTAGGGTGGGAGAAAAGTAAATGAGTCAGCAGGGTGGGAAGTGCCTTTTCTGATTAATCAGAGGAAAAATCCTCTAAATAATAATTGTTGTTTCTGATTCCAAAACTTTCACACAGATCAGTCGGTTAAAATCATTTTCTTTGTTTTCACAGAAAAAAAAATCTAATTCATGTCAGGTTAACTGAACTTTTGCCTTTGTTACATTAAAGCTGTATACGAAAGTATTCTCACAAACAGAAAGTCTTTAACACAATCCTGCTTACATGTTTACCTAACCTCCGTCACACGTTTCACCTGCTTGTTGAGCATCGTTTTATCATTTTGAATCCAGGACGAACCCTCTTAGCTCATGCTGAAACAAGCCTTGTTTTCCAGCTGGACTCTTGAAAGAAAGTGAACTTTTAAACCTTTGAAACGTCCCTCTAAGGAATCGGGTCAGTAGCGGTCACGGTGACACATGACCGACTCTGCTTTGGCCGGATGTGAAGCACACTTTTAATGAGAGTAAACTGTCAAAACAGTGCAAGAGCATCGTTCTTGATTTTTCTTTAAACCCAGAAAATAAAGCCAGATAATGCTTAATGTTCTGTTTTGTTGCTGTTACTTGTGTTTTATTGACCCTTTTGTGCTGGTTTTGGTCACAAAAAAACAAACAATATTTATTATACCACCATAAAAGATGACAGGTGCTTTTGAACATTGTAAAAACAAGAACATGTGGAGATGGTCTTTTAGTTTTTCTACACTTAATGCAAAAAATAGTTTCAACTTTTAGAAAAACCACAAATTCAATTTGTTCAATAGAGAACATACAGAACCTGCAGCTTTCGGCATCTTCAGCTGTTGCTAAAGGACACTGGAGCAGGGTCTTGCATGTGTGTGTGTGTGTGTGTGTGTGTGTGTGTGTGTGTGTGTGTGTGTGTGTGTGTGTGTGTGTGTGTGTGTGTGTGTGTGTGTGTGTGTGAGACGCACAGCATGTTTCGTATTAGTGTTGATGATTTCCCCAGAGAGCCGACACATGAGCCAGAGAGCTTGAGTGTTGTCAGGAGGCTGAGTGTGTCCCGTACAAAGCGATGTAAAACTAGGGAGGGAGAGAACAAAAACAGTCCTTTTTACAGTTTAATAACATTGGGAAACAGCAGAAGGGATCAAGCGTCATAAACTGTGGGTTGCAAAAGAAATGGTGTCACACAATCATGCTTTCTTTTAAATCTGCGGTACAGAAATTGGGTGTCTGTGTGTGCGTAGCCTCTAATGAGAGTATATACAACACATTGACCAAAATGAGGTTTGATGGCTTTCTTGAGCTGTGCGCAGACTCATGTCTCCCCCTGTGTGTGTGCAAAGTGAGTTTGCATATAGTAGTCCGGGAAACACACTTGATTGCTTGTGATTGTGAGGTACGACAGACCGCGCGACACTCCAGCACAAACACTGCAGTGGCGCGGCCAGCGTAAATGTTCCAGGGCCGCTCGGCGACGTCAGGGCGGCCTGCGAGCATCTGGAAGGCGGTGTGTTGTTTCAAGGCTAGAGAAGCAGGAGGGGAACGCTGTCAAAATTACCTCGCGGTTCTTGTGGCTCTTTTTCTCAACTGCATGCACAATTACCAGCGTAAGTGTAGGCATGGAAAGTGAAAAGGACCTGAGTAAGGGGATAAGTAAAACAGGAAGGGGTGACATATTGGATTTGAGACATGGGCCTGTTGTTTTGGGTTCTTGATGAGGAACATCTGATTATAGTTCTGTTGGTGTGGCTGCAGTTTGGTGAGAAGCCCTCTTTTATTTCCTTCACATGTAACCCAAATCCCAAAATAAGTGGAATTGTTCGTGTCCGTCCATGCCTTCATCTCTAACATACTTGTGACGTGCTGACAACCCACCATTAAGGTCACAGCAATTTCCAAATGTACAAGTTTTGTCAAATCAAGACCCAGAGAGAACGCACACTTTGTATTTATCGCATCGTCACTCGGCGTCGGAGTGGAGAGGCCAGTTCTGCAGCGATGATCAGCAACCAGCCGAGCGAAAAATGTCCACTTCCATTTGCTCAAAGATGGAACCGTTGACTTTAAAGCCTCGAGAATTCAGGCTGCTGCCAAAGTCAATATCAGCAGCACACTTGTTTTTCCCCAAACGGTTTAGAAGGACATTAAACATTTTCACTAAATTATCAAACTTGACCTGCCTCTTGTGTGGCAGCCTCTGACCTCATAGCTAAACGTGTTTACTCTGGCTCACATGGCCCATTTAGACATTTTTACTTTATAAATACCAGTGTGATTTCTCTCAGTCTGATAGTAAGAAAGGCCAGTTGAAATGGATTTGGCAGTCGTTGTGGCCTGAGCTCGTGTGTGTGTGTGTGTGTGTGTGTGTGTGTGTGTGTGTGTGTGTGTGTGTGTGTGTGTGTGTGTGTGTGTGTGTGTGTGTGTGTGTGTGTGTGTGTTAGATATTGTCATTCACTTCTTCTACAAAGTGTGGCTGTGTAATTGAAGTGGGGGAAGGCTACTCCTACTTTTACCTGTGTATTGATTTTAGAGCCCCTCTGCAAATATTATTCTGAGGTTGTTTGATACCTCAGCAGGCTAATTGAATCAGAGTGGCAGCACAGAGCTACATTAAGGGTTCCTGTTCTGAATTGGGACTGTCACGGTTCTGCACCGTCTGTCTTCTGGCCATTATCGTTTTCCTGAACATCAGTTTGAGTCTTACAAACCAAACAAAAACATTTTTTTGAGGTAGTGGCTCATGGCAGCACGTGGTCAGTCACTCAATCTGTGGTCCCTGGTTTGACACAAATAATTAAGTCAGAGAAAACACTTACTGACAGAATCCTTCATGCAGGGGTGGGCCTTTAAAGATGAGTACTTTGGCAATTATCGTTCTACGACTAACATCCCGGGACCTGGCTTTGCTCTTTCCTCTGAGGCCTGCAGGGTTGGTTTAGCTTTAGCCAGGATTCCGCTGTCTGTCTCCCAAGTTGAGCGCTGTTTTAACCAGAAACAGAACTATTCCCACCAATCTGGGCCAAAAAAGCCCTGATCATCCATCAGTGGGGCTTAAAGGTTGGCTACAAAGGGGGAGTTGAGAGAGGAGGTTTGTGAGGATTGCTGGGTTTTTAGAAGATGGGGTTTGATCCCTGGTCCCAGGCGGGACAGGTCACTGCAGGTGAAGGGAGATGAACGAGGAGCAGAGAAGCGCTGTTCACGCATCTTCAGTTTGACCTCGTCTCACCTTCGCACACAGATTTCAGACGTGGTTTCGAAGAACGTGTAAGCAGTACTGCCCTTACCTGCACACCTGTGGACAGCTAACTGATATTGATCTTCTGTGTCTTGCATTTTCAACGAAAAGTTGAATTAAAATACTATTCCAAACCTTTTTCCCTATTAAAACACCAACTTTATTCTCATCAGCACACTCTTAGCAAAGTGCTTTTGTAATATTTAGTTCATAAATCTGTCAGCCTTCACTTATTTTCTCCTCCTGACTCCACTTTTCATGGTTATAAGGTCAATTGGTCAAATCACTTTGTCATATTACAGCAGGACAGGAATAAGTGGGCTCATTAAAGAAAAAACGAGAAGTGGATAGACGGTCAAAATGAATTTCAGGGGATAGATTAATGTGGCATTTGAAAAATTCACTTCGTACCTTCAGATTGAGGTGCTAGCAGGCTAGTGAAACTGGCTAAAGCTGGTCCAGGAGCAGCTGGCAGTGATTAGCTTCTGATTCACTTTAGCTGCACATAGAGGCAGCTTGTAAAAATATGAACAGTATAACTGTTTCCTGAGTTTGTGCTGACTGCAGCTCCTGGGGGAACACTGCTCTCTGCAGGAACACATGGCTACACTCTGGCTCTGTGCCAACACGGGGATTAGTGGAGATTGCTAACAGCTATCTTCTTCTGAGCTGGAGTGGCTCAAGGTGACACACGACTGGTACCCTCAGGTTTTAGCTGCATATGTTAAGTCAGGTGCAGCTTTCTTAACTTGGCCACCAACGAAGTCACCATTTGAAAGCCCTCACTATAAATACCTAAAATTCTCCCAAGTAAAAGTTTTGCTCAAAATCAACAGATCTAAATGTACTTTTATTGATTTGCCAGTGTTTTGAAACTTTGGACACTGTGAAAATACCTCAGAGTCAAATTCAATTGTAAGAAAAATGTTAAAAGACCTGTACAAAACTAGAGCTCTAAGAAGGAAAAATTAGATGAGTGGAGGCAGCACAGACAAATGTGCATGCTACTGCTGCAGTGCAGTTTGCCGCAAATGTATAATACACACATTTGCAAGTTTTTTAGGGTTTGCATCCAAAAGTAATGCTACTTAAATGATGTAGTATATATTTAGTATATATAAGATATATGAAAGGCTTTGTCTTGCTCTCCCCACCTATTCCACCTTCCTTAGGATCCACTGATTTCCCTCTTTCCTATTCACTCTCTCTCTTTCTTTACATTTTTAATCACAATTGTCTATTTTTTTGCTCATTTAAAATATATGTTTAACTCATTCACTGCCAGCCGTTTCCTGATCACTAACGGCCTTCGCTGCCAGCGTTTCTCACCGTTTTTACTGTTTTTTTAAGAGTCACAGAACATTGCGCGCTAGCATGATGTCGATGCCAAAACAACCAAAACAAAGAGGAGACTCACCTCTTAAATCAGGAAGAAGCCGCGTTTTTCGAGCGTTATCCGTTCTTTCATAATCCGTTGTCGAATTGTGATCGGCAGACGCTTTTCCAGTTCGCGCCTCACTTTTTTTCACAGGAACGGCCCAAAATGATCTCCAAACACATGGATGTGTTGCTTCCTGATCATGTGATCTGTGACGTATGCAGATGAAGATCGGCTGTTGGGTTCTCTCAGCGTGGGGGCTCGTTCCGATGCTCAAACAGTAAAAAAATGCAAATAACGACTTTAGTCGTC